GACGACTTGTCGTCGTAAATTTATCGGCGCAAAAAATTGGTCGCAAAAACATTTTTTGCGACGACATAGTGTCGTCGCAAATGTATTTGCGACGACACTCTGTATTTGTGACGACAGGCGTCGCTAATACGTCGTTGTAAAATTCTCGTCATATGATCATTTTTTGCGACGACATTTCAAATTGTCGTCGCAAATAATCTTATTTTTTAGCAACGACAAGTCTAAAAAAACCGAAATTAATTTTTTTTTAATTTTTACAAAATGCCCCCCGCGCGAGCGCATATTTAAATACAAAAAAAAATTTCATTCCTCGGCATTAAATCTAATTATGTTAACAAATAATGTAAATTAATAAATTAACCTAGTTCAAAAATAATTCTAAATTAACGTCATAAACTAACATTTACATAGCCTCATAGTAAATGTTTAGAAACTTCATTTAGACATTTTTACAAACACTTTACAAACATTTTACAAACAACTCAACAAAACACATAAAAACAATAAAAAAGTTACCGGAGTGTGTAAAACATACCGGTAAACGTCGAACACTGAGGCGGCGACGGGCGATTTGGCGGGGCGGCGGTGGAATCTGGCCGGCGGTGGTGGCGGCGAGCAAGGGAAGAGAGAGATAAGGGAAGAGAGGGACAGAAGGGGGAAGAGAGAGAGAGAGAAGAGGAGAGAGGAGTGGCGGGGGCGGGGCGGCCAAAGAGGGGAAGAAAAGAGAGTGAAGGGAAGAGAGAAAGAGAGAAGGGAAGAGAGAAAGAGAGAAGGGAAGAGAGAGAAAAGAGGGCCGGTGGCGGCGAGGGGAAGAAGAGGCAGAGAGAGAGAGACTTAGCAGGAGAGAGATAGAAAGTGGGGGGAGAAAATGAAGAGGAAGAAGATAGGGTATATTAGATCAGACTTATTTGCGACGACAATGTCGTCGCAAATAAGTTTGAAAATATCGTCGCAAATAATCATTAATTCCCGCGCTTGGTTTTGGTGAAATCTTGAAAAGATTATTTGCGACGACGAAGAGAAAATGTCGTCGCAAATAATATGAAATTATTTACGACGACTTTATCGTCGCAAATAAATGAAAAATGTCGTCGCAAATAATCATTTTTCCCACGTTTAGTTTTTTGGTGAAATCTTGAAAAGATTATTTGCGACGACAAAGATAAAAAGTCATCGCAAATAATTTCATATTATTTGTGACGACAAAGTCGTTGCAAATAAAGGGAAAATGTCGTCGCAAAAAAATGGATTACCTTGGCGGCAAAATTCCGCGCCATTAAAATTTGCGCCCCAAAATTATTTGCGACGACATTTAAGTTATTAGCGACGATATTTAGGTTATTAGCGACGACATGGTTATGTTTTTAAACGGGGAGTAATTGCGACGACATGTCGTCGTAAATATTTTATTATTTGCGACGACAAATGTCGTCGCAAATGGCCTTTTTTGTTGTAGTGCCCCTCTCTTCCCCTCTAGCTCCCCCCCCGGCCACGGCCCCCCCGCCACCACTCCCTTCCATCTCCGATACAATCCTGTCACGTATGAATTATGGAAATAATTATGATTTCTCACATACTGCTACTTTGAATTTCTAATTTTTTTTTTCTTTTTTCTTGTTTAGTTTCGTTAAGTTACTTTTCATTTTCTGTTTTTAGCAGTTTTGTGGTTTAGTTTTGTAGCCGTCCTTTATTCTTTTAATTATAACTTTTTGTTTATACATAAAAAAATTGTTACTCCTTATTTCATGTTATACACTAATATATAAGACAAATTATATGTATACTGGAATTAATAAGAATTTCCTATATTTGACTTAATTAAAAGTAAAAGTTGTAAATTCATCACTCTGATAAAAGGTTTCTAGCTGTACTCTGCTTCCTTCCATATTTTCTAATACAATTTTGAGCTGAGGAAGTACATTTTCCTAATCGCTTTAAATGCACGCGCGCATATCATTTGCAATTAAATGACAATAATATTGGTACTGTTACTTTACTTTTTTTTCCCCCTAATAATTTACGAAAGAGAATAACTTATATAAGTTAAATGGAAACTACTACATCCCATGCGCCTAATCTTCATGTATGATATCTTTGCATTTTCCTCGCAAGAGGACACAAAAAGTTTCACCAGCTTTGCATTAAGTGGGACTTAAATTCCACAAGGATTCGGCTAGGAGATATGAAAATGACATCAAACTAAAGAGACGTATTATTATTGTTGTTCTCTTTAAGCGCGCCGACAAATATATATATATATATATATATATAAATATTGATATTGCGCGTTGTATATCATGTATTAATTTCAGTATGAGAAAGGTGGCATCTTCAAGGTAATTTTCGCGAAGACGTGAAGTTGGTGCACATTGTCAACCCCCACTTTTCTTCTCGCACACAACCTATGATTTTCCGATCTCTCTCTGTCTCTCTCTCTCTCTATATATATATATATATATACACACACGTATAATCCATTAAGTCAAAATATTCATAAAGGCTATTCCTAGCTTCTTTTACCCATAATAAGATCTCCAAACGTTTTTTTTCCTCTTCTGTAGAGAAAAAGGAAAATAATTCTTGATCATCATATTTTTCCATACAAACGTACGTCTTCATGAAGAAACGTCTCATCACCGCCACCATTGCAACCAAAATTGCGGTGCTTTGGTTGATCATGATTTTCTTAGCTGCCAATCACAATGATATTATTCCCTTGGCTGCAGCGAGGCCTTTCCACCATCATGGTGATAACTACATGAAGATTAAGCGGATGCTTGGTGCAATCCAACTCCAAGCGACGACGTTTTATTCGACCGATAAAACTCCGAGGGAACGGCCTTCTGCTCCTAACCCCAGCACCTACTTGCCCTGTCCCGGCGCTCGCAACTGCCCGCCACGCCACCGCTGAAATAGTTCGTCCTTTCTAAGCGCTGCATGCTCCCGCTTGTTACTCATCATGGCACTAGCAAAATCTTAGTACATGTAGGTTTTTTTTATATAACTGATCATATATAATATCACTGATATGTAAATTAAATAATTGTAGGAATGCCATAAAAAATTTGTTTATAAGTTCATTTATCACATGTAATATAAACCGCATGTATTTCTTGGTTTTATTGAAAATTGGATGTTGATTTATTTCAGCAGTAGTACTTTGCCCACTTTTTGCACAACAGATTTACACAAGCTATAGCTGGTAAAAGTGCAAAGCGTCATAGCTCACCAATCAGAAGCTTCGGATTTCTTGTTCTAATTTTCCATTATTCTTTTTTTTGGATTATAATAAGAATTTTCCATGCATTAGTACTTCCTCCGATTGCAACAACTTTTCCTGGAAAATATTGTTTGTGTTTCCAACACCGCGGCCATGCCAAGTGTACTACGAATGTATATTAATGAGACCTAAACGTTTATTATGAGGGGATTTGTTAGTTATGAGAATATAAGGCTGACAATTCAGGTAGCGACACGACAACATGATCGACTCGAAACCTGCATGAAGTTAGTAGGTTTGGGTTTATTATAAATGTGTTTGGGTCATAATCAGGTTGACACGATTAATAAATAGATTGAGTTAGTGTTGACCTCATAACACGAAGTGACATGAATTGACACGATTAATTATATGTGTCATCTACAATATAATTATATGTGATATAACATGAAAGTTTATATGACATTAAATACAAATAATGTGAATTTTAATATTTGTAGGTAAAATTCATTTATTTTTCTTAAAAGAAAAGATAAATTGACTAATAAACATATTAAATCTGTTTTGACCGTGTTAAATGAGTCATTATTATATTAGTTATTTATTCAATATATTAACTTAAATGGGTTATACGGGTTGACATGATTAACACGATTAATAAATATATCGTGTTTGGATTGATATTTTTGACACGTATAATAAACATATCGTGTTTGGGTTGATGTAGTCTGACAAGATTAATAAATAAATTGACACGAACACTATGCCACCATTAATCAGATACACTTGGGACGTATCAGTTGTCTTATTGTTGTTATTATTTTTTAGCAACGTTTACCGTTATGTGTGTGTGTTTTTTAAATTAAAAAAAAACTTAAAGGTAGTTCGCAAAAGTTAGTTATAAACTTGAAATAAATTTAGACCTTCTCTGATACTGCCGTATTAGTTTGGCACTGCATTTTTGGAAATCTATTATAAAAAGAAATGTTAAAAGAAAATAATTAAAGCACAAAGATTCTTATTAAAATATCATAAAGGCAATCTTCTACAGTTAATCATGACTCAATATCATATCAAAGTGGAAAAATAATGCAAACATGATGGAAGACAGGTTCACTGTGCGAAACTATAAAAGTATCTCGGGCCTTATGCCTGGGCCTGGAAAGAGGCCCATTCATTTTAATAAAGACGAATACTGTAATCCTCTTCATTACTATCCATTTAATCCATTATAGTTAAATAACTGTATTAGTGAAAATGTATTAATTAATTAAAAAATATTAATTAAGTATAAGAGATGAAAATATAAATTTATACAGTAATTTCAACAAATTTTTTTATTTTTATTTTTTCAAAACTGTAATAAATAATATCTTTATAAAATTAAACTAAGAAAATAGTAAATTTTAAAATACTTGTAGTAAATAGTAGTAACAAAATTTTTATTGGGTAAATTTTTATTTACAATGAGTAAAATTTTTTTTACCACATAAATTTTCTATTTACAACTAATAAAATTTTTTACCACATAAATTTTTAATTTATTACTATTATTTTAAATAATTTTAAAACCAGTTATTTATTTCAATTTATTCTTATACATTTACTACTTACTTCATTCTCTCTCTCTCTTTTTTTTTTTTTTTTGGTTAAGAAGTAATTTGCTTTTCTTCCCCTTTCGCTTATCCCATCGGTCTAAAAGTACCTTTATTTTTCATTTGTTTATAGGGATAAAAATATTGTATTTATTTTTATTTTCCTCCAGTGGTCCAAACAGAGACAGAGTCCCATCTTGAAAGTAATAAAATAAAAACAATAATAAAGCATGGCTTTGGCATCCAGATCTAATCTAAAATCCGAAGCGAAATTCCTTCTTGGGTATGTTTAGTTCTAGCCCGCTGAAATCCTAGGAAATCCGTTTTCGAAGCTTAAGAGTCGATCAAATACCCGCTGTCGTTTCAGGTAATTAAATACACACTTCTCCTTTTATTTTTTTTTATTTTTTTTGGTTTACTTCACTAGTTCTTTCTTTTTCTGGAGGATTTTGGAGTATGAATAAACTCTTTTTTTTTTTTTGTCGATGTAGACCTTATGAGCTTTATGGAGAAACTGGGTATTGTAGTATGGAGATCCTTTTGATGATTTGATAAATGGGAAATTCTAAAGTTTGGGACTTTGTTGCGTTTGATGGTGATTTTAGTGAATTATTGGATATTTGAGTTGTAGAAGAAGGTTGAATATTGTTTTGTTTGAGAGCTGTTCTCGAAGATCTAAATCTGTAGTTATGGATTTCTTTGGTGTCAGGAATATCTGAATTACAATTTCTTTGAAGGGCATATTCAAATTTCTGAAATTTCTTGGATTATTTGTAGTATTAGAATTGAGAGGTTGTACAAGCTTTTTCTTTTTTTGGGTGATTTAGTTAGAGAATTCTGAGATTCAGTGAGAAAGTTTTGGAAGGATAAGGATGAGTGAAAAATTTTGGGTGAGTGTAGAAGATAAGGTCATGGTGGAATCAGTACTGGGTAGTGAAGCATGCCAGTTCTTGATCTCATTGGCTTCTGACAATGTTTTGTCGAATTTCATTACGCCGGCTGGTGATTTGGGAGGTCAGCAGGGGTTGTGCAAACTGGTTGAAGCTTCCAATTGGAACTATGCCATCTTCTGGCAGGTTGTAAGCTCAAAATCCGGTGGATCGGCCCTGATTTGGGGCGATGGACACTGCAGGAATCCCAAGGATGGTGGATCTGCGGATAAGATATCTAGGGAGGACGGTAACTTTGAGGGTGTTGAGAAGGAAGCGGTGAAGAAACGGGTGCTTGAGAAACTCCATGCGTGTTTTGGCAGGTCGGATGAGGATAATTTCCCAAAGAAACTGGATGGGGTGTCGGATTTGGAGATGTTTTACCTGACTTCCATGTATTACACATTCCAACTCGATTCGCCTTGCGGTCCTGTGGAGTCATACAAGTCTGGTAAAGCAATTTGGGCTTCGGATGTGTCTAGTTGCTCACACCATTACCAATCAAGATCCTTTTTAGCAAGAGTGGTTGGATTACAAACTGTGTTGTTTGTGCCTGTGAATTCCGGAGTTGTGGAGCTTGGTACCATCAAGGCTACACCAGAAGAACAAAGTATTGTGGATATGGTCAATTGTACATTTGGGGTTGTGGGTTCTAGTTCCTCACAGACAACAAAGGCATTCCCAAAGATCTTTGGGCACGAACTAAGTCTTGGGGGTTCAAAATCTCAATCCGTCAACATTAACTTTTCTCCAAAGGTGGAAGATGATTCAGTTTTTGCTTCAGAATCCTATGACTTGCAAGCAATAGGTCCTTCTAATGGGTCTCGAACTGAGTCGAATGAGATAAAACTATTCCCACAACTGAACCCGATGATTGTTAGGGGTTTCAATGCCCAAACTAGAGTTTCAGGTGTGGAGCTACCTAAGGACGACGCATTGCCTCAGCTTGATGAGCGGAAGCCAAGAAAAAGAGGGAGAAAACCGGCAAATGGAAGGGAAGAACCATTGAATCATGTGGAAGCAGAGCGACAGAGGCGTGAGAAACTTAACCAGCGTTTCTATGCGCTTAGAGCCGTGGTTCCTAATATCTCAAAGATGGATAAAGCTTCTCTACTTGGTGATGCCATTACTTATATCACTGATCTTCAGACGAAGATCAGGGTCATGGAGACTGAAAAACAGATGGTGAACAATCCGCAGCAGTTCTCGATGCCAGAGATTGATTTCCAACCAAGGCAAGAAGATGCAGTGGTGAGGATGAGCTGCCCACTGGATTCTCACCCGATTTCCAGCGTCGTCAAAACGTTCAGGGAACATGAAATCCTAGCCCAAGAATCCGACGTTTCCACAGTCGATAACGACAAGATTGTTCATACATTCTCCATTAAAACTCAAGCCGGTGAAGCCAAACAGTTAAAGGAGAAGCTGCTGGCTGCTATTTCAAAATAATCACAATGTAAACATGTTTGTGATGATAATGTATCGTTAACCAACATAAACGTGATGTAATAGTTTTCTCCAGTGTTGAAAGAAACTGATCTAGTTTTCCATCTCTTCCTTTTATTTCTCTAGCGCAGAGTTTAGTTTGGAAATTTGAACTTGTTGATTCTGCCCTTCTTAGCAACATTGACAGAACACCAGTTCGGTAGGCAAAATGTGAATTCAAGGTTAACAATCTATTTCTTGATTACATTTTATTTTCTTGCCTGTACATACATATATGAAGTGACTATACATAAAATAAAAAGAAAAAGGATAAAAAATAACAGTATCCGATAACAGTGTCCCTCTGTTCTCTGTTATGATCGGAAAAATAATTTTTTATATCATCTAATAATGGATTCTGAAAGCCAAAGATTGACTAATCCGATGAAAACACTAACCCGTTGGAAACCTTAGTTCAGAACATCGTTTCCAAAGTACATAAAATACTATTACCGCAAGCAATTTTAAGACCCGTTTAGTTCGCTGATTCGAGTTTTTAATTCAAGTTGAGATGTGATTTTATGTGAGAACTTTTTACTGTAACAAAAAAGTTAGATGTGACTGTTTATGAGAGATTTTTACTGTAGCAAAACTCGAATTAGTGAAATAAACGAGACCTTAGAAACGTACTATCAGAGTCGAGACTGTCGATTACAATGACATAATATAAAATAATCTAAAATTAGTATTAATACTAGGATTATTTTCATAATTATCCCCGTAGTATAAACCTTATTTCAAAGTGCTCCTAATTTTTCAAAACAGTTTAAAATATCCCCTAATATATTGAAAACGAATCAAAATGCTCCGTTAGTCAACCTCCGTCTATTATTTTAACGGAATAGCTATGTGGAATCTCATTAGCTATTAATTGAATGTATTAATACTTTAATTAATTTTCTGAGTAAAAAGAATATAAAAAATAAATGTTAAGAAAACACCTCCATTTAATGCAACCACTAATTTAAATCCTTTTTAATCTGAGCCCTTCATTCCTTAAAAACAATATGAGCCCTTCATCTAAACATTTATTTGAAAAGAAAAACCCTAGAACACCATTCCCTACCGCCCCATCACACCTCCATTCTCTATTGACCGCCCATCCCATCCTCACTGCCGTCGCGCTCCGACCTCAGTAAAAGCACGTTGGAACACCACTGGGAGCACTGATGAGGAGGTTATTTATCGACAAATCAAATACATTTGAGTTCAAATATTTGTGAGTTTTCAAGTATTTTTGTTAATTTGATGTATTTTTGTAGGAATCATTAATAAATAGAAAATTAGTTGAAAACAAAAAAAAAAAATTAGAGTTTTGGAAGCTTTTGGGACGAGCCATGTACGAGGGCAAGGAACCCTGCAAACCGCCGCGTGAAATGGGAAGAAAAACGCCCAAGAGCAACCCTAGGCAGGGGTTGGTGAGCGCCTCCGCGTGCGCCCGCGCCCACTACAGCACGCTAGGCGCCCGGGCCAAGCTGGGCGCGCACAACCTAAGGTTTTTGGGTTTTTTTGGCCCTTGATCATTATGGTTCACCATTTTTACCCTTGGATAAGTTTAGATGAAGTTATTCGCCAATTTTAGGCATACTTAAGCAAGAGAAATCCTAGTTCCCAACTTGGAGAGGGTGAGGGGCACAAAAATTCTTAGAGAGAGAAGTTTAGAGTTGGAGATTCTTGAATAATGCTTGGGATATATTCTTAAAGATTTGAAGACTTAAAGGTCATCTCCACAAGAGTTTTCTCTTCCTTCTCCACTTTCTTTGTAGTTTTTTAGTTTTTGTTCTTAAATTTGTGATTTTGGTCATGGATTCCTCTATGTTGAGCTAGATTATTATTCTAGGGCTTGATGTAGCTTTATGTGAACCATGTTTTGATTAACTTATTGTTAGTTAAATTTCATCTTAATTTATTTATGTTTCTCTATGCTTAATGTTTCTAATTTATGTGGCAAATGAGTTAGATAATTTTAGATTGTGATTTCGATGCTCAAGAGAGATTGATTTCATAGTCTAGAATTGAGAAACATAGTCTAGGTTGTTGTGAGTTAGGGAGGAGATCGATACTTAGATAATCTTGTTGAGAGTTTAGGATAGTGTGAGACCGGGAGGTGATCAGGTCTTTGTCACGCCCCCCAAACGGGGTGGGTGACGTGGAGCTCGATTAGGGATTAATAAAGCAGATTCCCAACCGGGCCCCACACTTAATTGCATTAAAATATAATTACATTACTACAGAATCCCGGAGCCTCTGACACACAGGGCTCCACCCCACAGGACATACAGTACCGTACATACATGCTCATGTAGATAATCATTACAACAGACATCAACCACAGTCTAGTAAATCCAAATATTATATAAGTTTACAGAATTTCTCAAATTCCTTACATTTGTATCAGAGGATGACCACAATCCTCACTTGATTCTAACAGCAGTACAACTCAGCTGCTCCGTAGCAATATCCAGCTACTGTGCACCGCTCCTAAAGTCTCCTGGGAGGGGTTTAATACATTTAAAACATAAAATGTGAGCGAAAGGCCCAGTAGGATATAATTTGAAATAAACGTTATAAATAAATGAATAATAAATGTGTGAGGGAATGCATAAATGAATAAGTAAATAAAATAAGACATTCAGTCCCGACAGAACAGCCGGAACCTCACATTATTTTTCTCAAAGGAAATGTAACTGTAAATAACCGTTTTACAGGCTTCAGCAAGTAATTAGTATAAATTACTTACCTAACCAAGTGCCTCACCTACCCGCACTGAGTTTCGGGTTCTGCCCCTGAGGATGCACTCGACCCCACGAACTACTCAAGCCGCGGGCCCCATGACTGGACAAGCCATGAGGTTCCATGACTAAACAAGCCATGGTTTTCAAAGCATTTTCTTTCACAAATCAATCCCTTTCTTTAAAACATTTTCAAGGCCAAAATCTTTTTTTTTTTAAAACAGGCTCACAAGGAAAAGGGATAGAAATCCTACCTCGTACAATCAAACCTCGGACTAGCATTGCCCTTTTCTGGCTTCCGCTTCCTCAAGCCCCTTCAGTCTTAATCCACAGCGAGCACTGATACAAAACGACACTTTAGGATCAATTCTCAGTCCTAAAGTAATCCAATCTCAATCATATACCAAGATTTCCTATTAGTGTGCCCTAATCCATTTTAATGTTTCACATTATCATTCCAAGGGTTTTCAATCTCAAAACAAGGATTAACAATGCTAATCCATCTATCTTAAGTCCCCAAATGAAGCTAATTTGGGTTCTCCCCGAAAACAATGGTCAAAACAACAATTCCAGGCCAAACAGGGTCAAATCCCGTGTCAACCGGTCGACCGGTGATAGAGCAGTGCAACACTACCGGTCGACCGGTAGTGTGCACACCAGTCGACCGGACATGTCGACCGGTCAGCCTGCAATCCGGTCAACTGTATAGGTCGACCGGTTTCCATGTGATCCGGTCGACCGCACAGGTCGACCGGTGGAATCAGCTGCGCGAGAGAAGCTCACGGAAATCAATCCAAAACCTACAAATTCAGTCCCAAATCGAGATATTACAAAGGGAAATCACTAGATCTGGGTTCTAGGTCCTAAAACAAGTCCAAAGAACCCAAGATCTCCAATTTCTACTCTAGTTTTACTCAAAAACCATCAAAATCCGGTTTGAACCAAAAAATAAGTTTTGAAATTCAAAAACTTGAGATTCAAGAGAGGTTCTTTTAGTAATCTTACCTCGAATCCTTCTCTTGACGTTGAAAACTTCTTTAAATCTTTTCTTGGTTCAAGATCCGTTTGATTTGGGACACAAATGAGAGAGAGAGAGAGAGAGAGAGAGAGAGAGAGAGAGAGAGAGAGAGAGTGAGCGGGAGAGTGAGAGTGAAGGAGAGAGAGAGAGTGCGCGGGAAAGGAAAGAGAAAGGAAAGGAAAAAGAAAAAAGGAAAAGAAAATAAAAGAAAAAGGAAAAGAAAATGACATGTGTCAATATTTTAAAAGTGCAGTCCAGAAATGCGCCCATACACACTTCTGGTTTAAAATAAATTATTAAGAATAATTTAAATACCTTGGAACTATTTAAACTCACACGTGTCAGAAACATTTATTAATTAAACTCAATTAATAATCCAGATTAGGCACACTAATAATCTCAATTACCTTAATTAATCTCAATTAATTCTTCAGGGTGTTACAGTCTTAGATTATCAACTAGGATTTATATTGTTGTGAGGCCTGGAGGCGATCGGTATTTGATTTCTAATTTAAAAGCTAAGCTTAATGAGTGTATGAGTAAACGTGTTAGATATGAATATTGATTCGGGTATTCATGTATATGACTTTGTTTGACGTTCAAGAGAGGTAAAAAGGTTAGATTCGATCCCTTGATTAATGAATTGAGTGGAATTGGCTAGCAATGGTTTGATAGGATGAACATATGAATGATAAGGTGAAGTCAAGTTCCTAGTACATTTGTGCTTAAAGGTTTCCATATTTTATTTTGTTTTTGTATTTATATTTGTTCTAGTTATATTTTTATTTCCTAGATAAAGTTGAGTTACGATAATTGTGGTACTTAGCGGCAATTTAATACTTAATCCATGTAGAGATGATACTCACTCACCCTTTACTATCAAAACTTGACACCATACGCTTACGGGCGAACAAGCATCGGAGTCTATCCGCCCTTTGTGCGCACCTGGATCCTCCCACGAGCCATGTGTCATTGCAATAGTCCCTCCCCCAACTTTTTCTTCATTATCGATAGCAACCAAGGCCTTGTTCCCAAGCTTCTCCGACGGACATTTCGATGTCGAGCCGAACAACACGATTTCCTTCTCGCCCTCTTTTTTTTTTGAGCGATTTCTAAGCCCAATCTGCCAGCCCTCCTCCTTTTGAGGAGATTCGCTACTTACGGGGCTCATCAGAAGAGGTAGAAGGTCGAGTAGTCGTGGGTTTCGGTGGAGAAAAAAGGCGCCGCTAATGGGGGGCATGAGCGGCAGTAAAGGGAGCTGCTATTCTTAGGGTTTTCTTCATCTTAAATCTTACCAAAATCAAGGACTGAGATTGGATTTGTTTAGATAAAGGGTTGAAATTAAATGAGGGGCGGGGCGGGGGGAGTTTGTTGAAATAATGAGGGTTTCCTTTTAAATTTATTTTTGTAGAT